GGTACTCCAAGGTCTAATAGGCTCAGAGGTGGTTTTTAGACTGCAGTGGTGAGGGTCTGATATCAGTAATTTAGTTTGTTGGATAGGTATGAAATACTCTGGGTTTATGCAATGATTTATATTTTAATAAGCTTCAGTAGCGGCTGGACTGTTAAATAATGAGTGCCAAAATTCAGGCTGTTTTAACCATTTTGAGCATTACTAATGTTCTTACCAGTGTCCCTACCTTTCCACCTGAAGATGTGAAAGTGAAACTAACTCTTAAAGTTTTGAGTCTCCCTCATCCTTTGAATTTTTGGTGGTCTTTCATAATGAAATTATGATTTGGGGATGGGGATGTTAGAAAATCTTAAAAAGCTGTACCAGCTTCTATAAGCTTGTGTGACCAGTTCTGTGGAAGTTCAGGTCTCAAGTTGACAAGTATTTTTCAGACCCCTTTGTCAGTACATCTGCAGTTGTTTTGTTCTGGCTGAGTGTCTGGCCCAGAGTACTTAAAATAGCTGCGACTGTTTATGCTTTAGTTGTAGGCGTAGTGTTAATGGATTATTTGAGACAATAGCCACAACAGAGAAATGGTTTGGCATTCGTTTAAAAATTTACTAATAATATTTCTAGTGGGACTTTTTTGAATGTATAAAGGTAGCTTCTTTGACAAGCACATGCAGGACTGTTGGCTGGAACTTTGCTTTTGTGATGGTTATGACAAGGAATTATCCCGTTGAATAATTGGTCTTTTAAAGCATTATTTACATATTAGGTTGAAACGTACATAATTTTTTTCACTTTTAGAATCCACATTTAGTGTTTGGGAGGTAATGATGTTAGCAGAGGCAATGGGGAGCCTAACTTGTTGCCCCCTTGATGCTATGGAAAGTCTGCAATTTGTATATATATGACATCTTGTCCTGTGAAAATGACTAAAGCGTAGATTCAATCAAATTTCTTGGAGGTGTGTTATTGATCTGCCTTCCTGGAGAGAACATGCATTGGTAGCTGAATTGAAATGTTTATAAGGTGGTGTGTGTGTTTAACTGTGAATTTGGGGAAGGGGATCTGGAGAATCTACTTCGGCAAATCTGCTCTTTGTGTGCCCCTCAGACTTTGGCAGTGCGCAGCATTTTCCCCAGAAACAAAAGCTCAAGGACGGAGAGTCTGGTAGGAACATGATCACCTTTTACACAGCAGTACTTGCTCTGCGAGGAGTGATGTATGCTGGGCATATTGAAAGCTGACGGGGTGGTGACAGAATATAGTAAGCAGGCAGTAATTCGGTTAGTAATAAGGAGAGTGTTTTAGTTTACTGCAGTTCTTGAAGGAGAGGGTGATACATCTTTTAAAGATGTTGAACAAAGTTACTTGTGAATCCTGTGAACATACAGCTAACTTCAGGTGTTCAAGTAGGATGTCCAACTTCCTGCCACTGATAATCTTATTTTGGAACTATATTGGTATACAAAGGTTATTAAGTTTTGCCTTTAGAATGGATGAGATACATGCACTCAACTTATAGTAAATTAATAAGAAATATGCTCTGATTTACTTTCTGTATTTTTTACTTTCATTAGTAGTTGCTAGTTAATATAGCTGTTATTTTTTGCTGTACTTATGCTGTAGCTGTGTGGGGTTTATCTATTTACTCAGTACTACACTAAACTGTGGAAGACTTGTATTGTTGGGAGGTGTGTGGAAAAAAGGTTTGTTTTTTTTTTTCTTTTTTTTTTCTTTACAAACAGGTTTTAAGAAAGCAGTTTTTTTTTTTTTTTTTTTTTTTTTTAGTGATGTTTGTATATGCTGTGTATGTCGGACTAATTTTCGTGAAGAAGGTTTGTTCCTCTTGAAGCCATTATGTACAGCCAAGAATCCTCAAGCTTTTGCTGATGGATTGGAACAGTTGAGTGCTTGGAGATCTCAAGCAAGGCTGAGCTCTGCTTTGTGAGACAATTTCTAAACATCTGTTATAGCTAATACTGCTCTCAAAAGGTCAGTGAGCACAATGCAGGACATAAAAGCTGGGAAAAAAGGTGTTTTAATATTTGCTCTCTTGTAAAATTCTTTGTTCAAAGATGCACTATAAAATGTGTTAAAGCTTGACAAATGTTTTTTGCGTTTTATTATGAAATACTGAACATTCTTCTGTGTTGTATTTTGTTTATATCTGTTTGTTTTTATTGATGTCATGTTTTACCACGGATGTACGAATGGTATGGAAGTTTTATTGGTTCTGCTAACAGACCCATCCCTTACGCTGGCCACAGAACTTTTAAGAATGATGTCTAAACAGAATCTTCATTTTTTTGCTGCTCAACATCACTTGAGTGAAATACTAATGTGTGAAGATAGATGCATGGGAAGCCCAGTATTATCAGATAAATTTCATCTCAGGCCTTAGAGACCTTGTTAGTGCACCTTTAAGTAAATAAATAAATTTCCTTTTCTGCGTGGCTCTTGGCATATCTTTTTCTGACTGGGGACAGACACTTCATTCTCTGTATTTCAATATAAATAAAAAATTCATCTCTCTTGCTTTGCCTTTTGTTATTAACAGTCTACATTAAAAAGAAAGCCTCTGGTGCAGGTGGTTTTCACTGAATGCTGCTCTGCTTTGTGATTAGAATCAAATGCAACAAGCAAAAACTCCCTATTGAAAAAAAAAAATAAAATAAAAAAAAAAAAATATATATATATATATGCATCACTACCTTGTATGCTGTCTGCTTGGGTTGCATGCAACTGTTTTGCAGTCTTTAAATAAAAGAGAATAATTAAAATATTTTTAAAAACATTGTCTTTCAAAGAGGTTATTTTATGAAAATATTTCATAACAGACTCTGTATTTTTCCAGAACAAGCGAAAAAGCAAAAGGGAATCTCTTGGACAAAGGAGAATACATGTTTGTGAGCTTAAACATGCTACGCATGTTATTTGTGCTTCCTGTTCTGTGCTCTTTATTGACCCATGTCCAGGCAACTAGTGCATTACAAATCTTTAAAATGGCTTGAGTTCTATAATCGCTACTTGCAAAGGTCTTGTCCCAGGCCTCTAGGCCCCAAATATTTAATTTTCTGCTGTTGTTTACAGGTGCATAGACATACTGTAGATTTTCAGAAATGGCCAGTTGCTTGGTGATGGAAATAGAAGACATTTTTTTTGACTTATTTGACTCAAAACTAATTTTTCAGTATTGCTTTTTACTAACTTTTTAGTTTCTGGCACATTTTCTGTGAATAGAAACTCAAAGTATGATACCTGTAATAGTATAAACAGTGGTGCTTTATGGATGTAAATAGTAAAGACATATCTCTTGATGTTGTTGGTGAGAATTTATGATGCTTAGGTGCATGTACAAGATTTATCTCTCTATTCTTACCATAGCTTTTGAACCCTAAACTATTTGGGGAAAAAAAAATCTAAATAAGGAAACGTTATGGTGCTCATAAGTGCTTAAGCTTTCAGATGGAAAAATAAAGTTAGGGCTTTGAGCATTTGATGATGAAAATGTAATAGCTAGTCAGAAATACTGGAAGTGCCTAGGGACATGTTTTAGCCAAAGTTCAGCCCAGAATTTGTAGTAGACACTTTATGTGGTGTTCCTTTTATTGTTTAGAAATTCTATTTGTTAGTACAAGGTGATCTGTATTGTGGCTTTATTTGCCATCAGAAGTACTTAATGTATTCATTTCATTAAGCTTATTAATATCTATACTAAATATTTCTAGTATTGACAATGCTGCTGTTGTCTAGCAGTTTTATTCTTGAAAAATAAGTCATATATTTTGCTGCTTTTGAATGCTGTGCATTTGCTTGGACAAGGGAAAGGCATTTTTCAAATGTTGTTGGGTGCAGATTTGAGCAAAGGTCTGACAAAATTAAGTCAACTGCAGTTAAAACTGTTCCTCCTAACCTGAAAATGCCAACCTTTTGGGACGCCAATGGTAGTTAACTCTGTATCTATATTTGACTCTCAATTTCTCTGAGTAAAGAATGAGCTTTCCTCTACTACCTCTTAATGAATAGAGTCCCCCCAGGACCTGAACTGAGCATGATCATGAGTACTTATTGCTATACTTGAGGTGGAAAGCTTGACAGAGCTTTAAACACTTAACTTGTCCAAGGATCACTGGACTTTTTCCGGCTTTTATCAACACGTTATTTTTAATGTGAATGAACATGTAGCCCTTTTTCATTCACTTTTAAAAAAGGAAATTTAAAAGCCCAAAACATCTGAACACCCGAAAACAAAGCCTTTGGGCACTGGACAATAGGAAGCATTCTCAGTGAAAATACTGTATTATCAGTATTGACTTCAGAATTGGCTGTTTCTTCATTATTCTATGGAGAAAATTACCAAATGCAATTTTTCAAGTTCAGGAGTACCATGAGCATTCATTATTGTCAGATTAGACTATGTATAAATACATGGGATTATTTGAAAGGATTTATGTCAAGTACATGTTACCAAATTGCTTTGATATTGAGCAAAAAATTTACTGTATGATCATAAATTTTGTTCTCCACAGCATCCAGTTTTTTAAATAATTTCTTTGATTGTTGGCATCCACTACAACCTCTGCTTTGCAGTGAACCTTATTAGCTTTCACATAATGGTCTTCCAGATGAATATTGATTGTTTTGAATTATATTCCATGTGCTCTATGTTGGGTGATAGTAGACAGTAAATTAAAAACCTAACCAGGAGGAAGTGCTTGTGTATTGTCATCTTCTGTTCCCCAGCTTTTTGCCCTTAATTTCTTATTTGGAACTGTTAAAATATATTTGACTGTTGTCACTGTTCTTTTAAACCTTACTTACTGTAACCCAGGTTCCTGTTTGGAAATCTCATTGGTTCTTTGAAAAACTGAATTGCGGAGGAAAGTAAAATAAAAGTTTAAGTATGCTTAAGTTTCACTTATTTATGTTTTGAAGTTAGTTATGTAAAACTGCTTTGCACCTCTGGAAAATAAGCCATTGGTTATAACAAGATTATCTTACTTCCTAAACAGGTGTCTGGAAAATGGAGAAGACTTTGAACAGAATTCATCCAGTTTCTGATCCAGAAGCAACATACTTTCTACAAATATCATGGGAAAAAGATTTGGGCACTGGCTTTGGTTTAATACTCACTGATGGTCAGTGTGCATGGACTGGAACAGGTAATGCAAAGGAAAAAATAATGTTTTCAGTTATTACTTTTATTTATTATTGTCTTTAAATACTTTCTGAACTGTGACCTGCTACTTGCATCAAAAGCTTTTTATAAGCATTACACCTCCCCAGTGATGCAGGAGGTGGGGTTCATGATTCTGGGACATGTTTGGAGATCTTTCAGATCTGGAAAGATTGTGTGTCAAACCTAATACTAATTTATTTCGCATATGGATATGCAATATTTTGTTTTTTCTTTAGCGTAACACTTATATGTCTTCTCCAGATTCTCAAACAAGTGTATTGTGCAAGTTGCATTTAATTGAAGATGTTTTTTAAATGGTGTCATAAAATCCTAATCATTAAAGACAGCTGTATTGGTACTCAGGTGAATTTCTGGAAAGGAGAAGGGACAAGAAATATTTTTCTTGGGCATAAGTTGTCAGAAGGAAAAAAATAGCTTGTGGGTTCAGTAACCTGAATAAGAGGATGGGTCTCTTAAGCGTGTATGCTTTTCTCATTCACACCCAATAAGAAAGTAGAAATAAGAAAGATTTATGTGTTCCTTTAGAAATGTGTCAAATACTTCATCAAAAGCCTTTGTGGCAAAAATATTTCTAAGGAAGAAAATTACATATTTTATGGCATATTGTAGGCAAAAACATATACTATATATGTGTGTGTATATATATATAGTTCTTGTGTATAAAAAGCTTAATTTTTCATCAGCTTGAGTACAATTTTTACCTTTTTTTCTTTCAGACCTAGGAAATAAGACCAATTTAAAATATTTCTAGATAAGTATTAAATCTGTTTTTCCATATTCTTTTTAACATTTCAAACACACTATTGATTAGGAGTGCACGCACAAGACAAATACACATGTTCCAATGCTGGTTCCCTATAGTCTGGTATGAAAGGCTTTTCTGTCTTGATCTGACAATTGGATAGTCAAACTATAAATTTTGTGATAGGATGAGGGGTAACAGTTTTAAAGTGACAGAGGGTAGATTTAGATTAGATAAAAGGAAGAAAATCTTCCCTGTGAGGGTGGTGAGACAGTGGCACAGGTTTCCCAGAGAAGCTGTGGCTGCCCCCTCCCTGGAAGGGTTCAAGGCCAGGCTGGACGGGGCTTTGGGCAGCCTGGGCTAGTGGAAGGTGGCCCTGCCCAGGGCAGGGGGGTGGGACTGGATGGTCTTTAAGGTCCTTTCCAACCCAAACTGTTCTGTGATTTTCAAAATAGCAAAGAGGATGTTAACATTGATAAATATTTAACTAATTGAGCATGCTAATTTTTCTGTTTAAAAGCTTTTCTTGTTGTTCTTATGTAACTTTAAAATCCCCCAATTAAAATTTACAAAAAAGCTTATTCTTCGAGTCTGTTATTTTTCTAAGTAAAGCTATGTTACTATAATTGGAAGAGTATAGAAAAAGTACATAAACACAGTTCTCATTTTGTTAACTTCCTGCATCTGGCAGAATGGCTGGATGATCATTTCCCAAGACAGAGGACCAGTGAAAGCAAAATGACCTCACTCTATTAAAAGGAAGGAAAGAAACCCACAACAGTTTAGCATGAGCACTGGGTACTCATCCAAAGAAGAGTGCTTCTATTTCTTCTGCATGAATCTGAGCAGTTTCTAAGAAATTCCTATTGAATTTGTATAGTCTGTTGAATAATTTCATTAGGAGTTGAAGTTCTCATGCATGAGAGTTTCTTATGGCATAGATCTGAGTTTTCATATATTCAGTGTTTGTTTTAATCAATTTTTCTGTGTTACTACTTCACAGTTAAGAGTGCTTAGATTCAAAACCTGGGAGAAAGGAAAGCATTGGTCAGAAAATTCTTACTATGGGAAATCCCTTTTGGGTTTCTCATGCTGTGGATTATTTTGCTTGGCAAGACCTACCAGGAAGTGAATGAGAGTTGCTGATGGAGTTGTCTTTTATGGTTTTTGTATATTTAATGTGATGATGAAAAGTGTTAGCAGTCCTATTTAAAGAGTGGAGGGGGGAAAAAGTAAATTGTGTGTGTGGGTATTACACACCCACAATATGCAATATGATCTAATATATTCACTTGGTATTGGGTAAAAGAACTAGAGTTATATGGATTTATACATTTTGTGTTTCTCTAACAATTGATCAGTCCTGCCAGTTTTATAAGACAAAGGAACATGCAGAATATGCAGGCACCACAGGAGAAAAAATCCAGTGCTGTATCACAGTATGTTAGTATCTTTGTTTTTTTAGTTTTCATTAAAAGTTTATCTAATTTTTCTCAGTGTTGAAATCATTGTTCTAGACAAACATTTATTTTTACAAGTATTTCCAACTTACTTTTTTTCTGCCTGTCTTTGTCTCATACTGCAGGGGATTTCACTTTTCTGTCAGTACTGTTTTAGTGGACTTACAGGGATTGCTGGCATACTAGTGGCCTTTTCTTTCTCAACTCTGTCAGTGTCCTGAATAAGAAATAAGCTAGCTAATGAGGAAATGATTGGTGGCTGTAGCTTGTAATAAAATAGAAATGTTTTGATGGTAAATTTCTTGCCTTTCTTTCTGACTCAATTCTTGCTATTTGTAGTTGATTGTTAGCTCTGCAAGATGAGTGTTGACCAGCACTGTAGCCCCGATTGTTCACAGACTTGTAGACTGAGCTTTTTTCCTAACAGTAGTTCCACTGTATTATTCTTTATATGAAAATTAAAAATGCTGCTTTCAGTTTAAAAAAAACCCAAGATGCAGTTGGCAATTGTCAAAGTCTTGAGCCTTTCTGATTAACATCCATTTCATGCTTAAAATAATTTTTTAAAATCTTGGAAAATACTTTTACTAGCTCATCTAAGATGATTTGATTTGTTCAGTTATATTGTTGGCACTGAGGGTTGAACAGTTGTCTTATGAAGAGGTAGGGAAGAACCAATAGTACGTGGCAGTGGCTGTTTTAAGTTTACATCCTTCAGCTTTGCAGCACTGTCTGTGACAGTAGCAAGCCCTGTTCTGAAATTCATAGCTGTCAGTTAATGCAGGGGGATTAATGCCCAACTGACTTCGACTTAGCAGGTGCTTGCTTCTAGGTCTGTCTTTTCATGTTTGCAGTGCTGCATGCTGGCTTTGCTCTTGTTCATGTCCCTGTGTGATAGCTGCAGATGTGTCTGGTTTATAGGGGAGGAGGCAGTGATACTGTGTTGCATCTAAATAGTATGATTTGCACTCAAAAGTCCTGTTTTTAGGACAAGTACTAGCTGGCTTTATAAGTGGCCCTCTGTCTTAACCTCTTTCTCTTAATGTATTAGGAAAGGGTTTTACGTATTACAGAAAAGATGGTTGTGATGTCCATGCAGTGAAAAAAATGTTACACCTTTATCCATTTCTCTCTGTGCCCTGTGTTCCCTTCTGTCAAGACTTTTTAACCTCAATTTAGTGAAGAGGATTACTGCTTACTTTTGCTTTGTTTTAAATTTGTCTTGTTGGGTTGTAGAAATAAATTTGACAAGTGTAACATGTTCTTTAAATGATGATACTAGAATATAAATGTTTGAATCTTTAGATTATTAGGTGTCTCAAGAGTATTTCAGTGACCTAAAGCTCATCAGTAGAAAAAACATTCATGTACTATTGTCTATTATGTCTAATGGACAGCAGAATACAGTTTCCATTTTGGGAGATGCACTTTTACGAAGACCACACATCTTGAGTTTACAGGGGGGATCTGTAGGGACATACAGTTATAATATGCCATACCTCTCCCTGGCCTCTTTTTACTAAGCCCATCCATTTTTTTTTTTTCCCTTCTCTGCAATATAGATAGTGCAACTTAAAATGTAAGGATAGAAGCATCTTCTCCAGTCTAGGAATACTGATTATTATTTTATTTCTGTTTTATTCTAATGCATCCTCCACAGCACTCCTATATTCTTGTTAAGCTATAATGACATTTCTGCAATTTGTGACATCTGGTGAATGTTGCGTTGTCACATGTGATAAAATCTATGTGTTGTGCCTTGTCCATTTACTTTGTGTTAGGCTAGTGTGAGTTGACAGGTTTCATCTTGTATCTTCAAAAGAACAGTGGTGCAGAGAATAATCATTTTTAAGTGTTGTCTCTTAAGGAGAATATGGGTATCTTTGTCACAGACTTCATACTGGTATTTCACATCTTAGTGTGGCAAAGACTGACTTGCTCATATTTACTGAGTCTACTTCCATTCTCTTTTCTTTTTTTTTCCTTTTATCGTAACTCCAAAGCAGTTCAGTTCCCTTACATCCCTTTGCTTTCTAGCTTTTGAATCTGCCTAGGAAAAAAATGCCTGGTGCTAGGGGATAACTAATGTGATTTTGACCCATTTCTGATGCTTTTAACTGAATATATCTGCAGGCTGACATTTTCCACAAAATGGGGTATTTTCTCCTTGGGTCAACTGTTTGTTTCCTTGAAGTGCTGACAGTAGCATGCTCTCTCTTGCCACCTGTGTCTTTTTCACCTAGCTGTTCACCTGTGTCTTATAAACAGAGTAATAGAGTGGGGTGTTAGCGACTGACCTGCCTCATCAGATTTCTGCAGACACATGATAATCACATTGATTCTCAAGGTAGTATTTCCTTTTTTGTGTGCAAAAATATTTGATTTATTTGTAAATAGATGACCTAACTGATTATTGTGACCTGTCATTAAAAAAGAAAAAAAAACATTGAACCCAACAAAAAACCCGAATAAAACCCCTTCCAATTAAGTCTATGATCAGTAAAATCTACATGTTTTCCACATTGTGAGATATGTAGAGAGTAGGACTACAAAAGCTAATACTTACGAAGAAGGAAGAGCTGGTTGGGTAAGTTAAAAGTGGGGACAGCCTTTGGTTGCAGTGACTATTGAGTGGTGGAGTTCAGGATTGTGCGAGGAAGGAACAGGAGGATAATAAAAAGCAAGATAATAACCCTAGATTTCAAGAGAGCAGACATTGACCTCTTCCAGGGTCTCTTTAAAAGAATCCCATAGGATACAGCTCTGGAGAGAAGAGAGGTCCAGGAGAGGTGGTTGATTTTTCAGGTGTTACCTCTTCCAGGCTCAAAAATAGTTCATCTCACTGGAACAGGAAATCAAGCAAAGGTGGCAGTAGGCCTGCATGGATGAACAAGGAGCTCCTGGCTAAACTCAGGTGTGAAAAGGAAGCGAGAGGTGGAAGGTAGGGGAAGGTGTCCAGAGAGAGGCACAGAGATATGTAGGGGGGGGGTTAGGAAAGCTAGACCCCACCTGGAACGGCATCTGGCAAGGGATGTGAAGGGCAACTAGGACTTCTGCAGGCTAATTGGTACTAGACGGAAGATAAGGAAAACTGTGGGCCTGCTGCAGAGTGGGGCAGGGGGACTGGTGACAAAGGACGTAGGAAAAGCTGAGGTACTACTCAGTGCCTTCTTTGCCTTGATCTTTATTGGTTAAGATTTGCCTTTAGAAATCTCAAGTCCCTTAGATCAGTGGGAAAGTCAGGAGCAAAGGAGATTTACCCTTGGAGGAGCATGAGGTTAGAGAGTATCTTGAGAAACTGGGTGCTCCATGGGACCTGATTGGATGAGACTGAATACTGAGGGATCTGGCCCATCTCATTGTGAGGCCACTCTTGGTTATTTTTGCAAGGTAATAGCCATCAGGGGATAGCTTTAAGTACTGAAAGAACTGTCTCCTAACTTTGGGATGAGTAAGGTGATGGATTTGGGTAACTGGCCATCCAGAGGCTGTTGGAGGAATAATCATGGAAACAATTTAAATAAATACTAGGGACAAGATGGTGAGTGGTCAGGATGGATTTACAAAGAGGAAATCATGCCTAACCCACCCGATAACCTCTGAAATTACTAGCTTATTGAGTAGGGGAAGGGCAGTGGATGCTGTTTATTTTGGCGTTAGCTAGCAAGGGTTTCAGCACTGCATCCTCTATCATCCTCACGACAGACTGGTGAAGTATGGACTAGACAAATGAACAGTGAAATAGATTGAGCTTTACCAGTTGAAACAGATTTCAAAGAGTAGTAGCATGAAGTCAAGCTGGAGGCCAGCTAGTGGCCCTGTAACACAGGGGTCATAATGGGTCTGGTACTGTACATCTTCATTAATCACTTGGATGATGACACAGTGCATCCTCCGCAAGTTTATGGGTGATGCAAAACTGGGGGAAGGGTTGATAAGAGGATTGGGTTGCCATTCAGAGGGACCTGGACAGGCTGGAGAAATAGGCTGACAGGAATCTCATTAAATTCACAGAGGGAAAAGCAAAACTATATACCTGGGGAGGAAGAAGCCCCCAGACTCTACTGGTGCCTTGAGTGACTGGCTGGAAACAGGTGCCTTTTGAAAAGGATCTTGGAGTCCTGGTGGACAAGAAGTTGAACACGGGCCAGTAACGTGGCCTTGTGGCAAAGACAGCCAACAGTTTCCTGGGCTAAACTAGGAAGACTGTTTCCAGCAGATCAAGGGAGGTGATCCTTCCCTTCTGCTCAGCTCTGGTGAGACCCATGTTGCGGTGTCCTGTTCTGGCTCTGCAGTAAGAGAAAGACATGAACATACAGATTTGAGTCTGTGCATACAACTGAAGGACTTGAGCATCTGTCATGCTAGAAGAAGTTGAGAGAGCTGGGTCTGTGCAGCCTGGAGGAGAGAGAGCTCAAGGAGTTTTTGTCAATGTGTATTTATTAATACCTGATGAGAGGGAGTAAATGAGATGTAACAGGGTCTGTAGCAGGTTCTTCTCAGTGATGTCAGTGAAAGGACAAGAAGCAGTGGACACAAACTGAAATACAAGGACTTCCATGTAAACAGAGGAAGAAACTTTTTTTTACCATAGGGGTGACCAGAACAGATTGCCTGGAGTGGATGGGGAGCCTCAGGCCTTTGGGATATTCAAACTCCATTCAAAACGTAGTCCTGAGCAACCTTTGTAGTTGACCCTTCTTTGATCTAGTTGAACTAGACAATCTCCAGAGTTCTCTTCCAAACTCAACCACACTGAGTCTGAAAATAAGCTAAAATTACCAAACGTGCAGAATTAATCCAGAAATCCTGAAGTGTGTGAGGATATAACTGTTCTTAGCAAATAATTATACATTTACCTCTTTGCTTTATTTTTATATGATGGATTGATTTGATATGCACTGCCTCCTTTGCAATACGAGGTTAGCTAGGGTGTCAAGAAGAAGATTGGAGAAAAATGAGGCAATTTGAACAGGCTCATGTTTGAATGAAATGCTGTTCTATTTCGGTATGATTGCAGTACATTTGGAGGCTTATGTCTCAATAAGAAACTATATTCAAAGGTATTTGTATAGAGAATAAATATAGTTATTAATAGGGGTCTTAAGTGGCATACTTTAAGTCACAGTTCTGTGAAAGATGTGTTTTGAGGTTGGTTTTTTTTGGTTGGGCTTTTGGGGGTTTACTGTATATGTTTTAATTTGCTTTTTTGTTTTGGATTTGTTCACTGTTGTTTTTTTTCAGGCTGTCACAAACTAATGTTCTTTTGCTTATCTTGCTTTCTCAAATGCAAAGCAGTTGCTAGAAAGATCTAAGAGCAATCAGGGGTAAATGATGTCCTGGTTCAGCCAGGATAAAGTTTTCCCCAGCAGAGAGAGAGGGGGAAGGGATCTCCAGCCGGGTTATTCATACCATGCTGGCATCAGGTCCAGGGGCGGAACCTTTTCCTTGCTCTTTGGCAGTCTCGGGAGGGAACTTTGCTTTCCGTAAACCAGCTAGCAGTATTTCTCTGTATATCGTTTGTCTTGTTCACTATTATTGCTGTTTATTGTTGTTACCATTGATACTGTTGTTGTTCAGATTGTTCTATCACTCTGTTTTATTAAATTTCTTGTTATTTTAGCTGGGGTCTGTGTCTAACTTCCAGCCCGACCGGCACAGGTTGGGGAGGGGCAACGGCAATGTGCTCTCTCATCCCGGCAAGGCTTAAATCTTGCACAAATGACAATCTAGAGCAGTCTTCCTCAGAAGGCTATGCAGAAGAAGAGGTAACACATCTGTTAATCAAGTAAACCATCTAAAATACTGTATTGATAGGCTAGACATTAAAGCCTACGTTACATTATATACATCCTCTCCTTAGAGTCTGTGAAAGAAGCTCTGCACCCCTCATTGAGATCATTGTTCTGATTAATATTTGATGTCTAAAAGTACCGAAGAAACAGTATGTAGAATAAAATAAAAAGGTAAATAAGCAGAGGCCCAGGTGGTAAAATCAAGAACTCCTCCTTGCTACTGCTAGTGAAAGATGATGAGTCTTGGTAATTTGCCATTTCAGTTTGAAGGTTAACCAAAAGAAGATTTAGGAAGAAATAAATGATCAGAAGCAGACAGGGAAGGTTATAATTATTCTTAATGACAGTACCTTTTTATTGGCCTGTTCTGTACCTTAGTCAACCATTCTTTGTTTTCAAAGGAATGGAATAAAATTTTCTTTATGGACCTGATGCAAACTGGTGACGCATCCCCCATTTAGTGGTCCTTGAATGTAAACAGTAAAGCATGGATTCTTAAGTCACTAGGTGTAGCTTCATTTGTAAATTGACTGTATTTTGTTTTAAGATTATAAGTTACAAACTTGGAAAACTGGGTCAAGAATGTGTGAGGAGACAGTTGCATCTGTTGTCTTACAGGGTTTAAATAACACAAAGAGAACTGAGAGGGTACAATAAATCATAGTTAAAGCATTCTACTTTGTTGTAAGGTTAGTGTTATTCTGAATTACTTTAGGCAAGTAGAATTGTGGACTAGTAGCAATAAATTATTTTCAGACAGAAAAGGAAGGCTCAGAACTTAATTCTTAGGAAAAACACAGTATCCCTGCTACATTTCCATTAGTGTCTGGCACACTGATATATGTCCAGGAAAGAACAGTCTCCTAGTATTTGCCTGTCCCTTAAGGGGTGTGTGTGTCTGTATGTACATATAAATATATATACATGTTCACATACATATGAGTATTTATTTCTCAAATGTTTCTTTCTAATAGTTTCTGAAGCTGAAATTTCTAGGGAGGCTGCTGACATGGAAATGAATAGAGAAAAGTATGTTGAAGAACTGAAGAAGGCACTGATAGCTGGAGAAGAATCAGCTGGCAAATATAACTTTTCTATTTCAAGAGATGAAGAAAATATGGAGTGTCATTTCTCCTATGAAAGAAATCTGAAAGATGGCTCTGTAAGTATAGTTATATGTTTAAATTTAACAGTCGTAGTTTAACAGTTGAGAAGGACCTTCTTGGTACATTTCTGTATTTTATTAGGTTTTTCAAAATCAAATAGATGTGTTTCAGATTGAATGAATCTTGTGAACTCTGCCACAGGCCAAACTAGAAACAAGTTTATGGTTTCCTATCAAAACCTGGTATCAATAGAACTATTTCTGTGTTACTTTCTTAAATGCTACTGAGTAAGAGTATTAGTTCTCTATTTAAGTTTGGATTAGTGTAGTGATAGCATGAAGGGTAATGGTTTTAAGCTGAAGGGAGGGCATATTTGGTTTAGATATAAGGAAGAAATTCTTCCCTGTGAGAGTGGTGAGACACTGGCACAGGTTTCCCAGAGAAGCTGAGGCTGCCCCCTCCCTGGAAGGGTTCAAGGCCAGGCTGGACGGGGCTTTGGGCAGCCTGGGCTGGTGGAAGGTGGCCCTACCCAGGGCAGGGGGGTGGGACTGGGTGGTCTTTAAGGACCCTTCCAACCTAAACCATTCTATGGTTTATGTTTTGTTTTTTTAAAGCCTGTTATGCCTACATGTTGGAGCTGCAGTTTAGTATTAAGATGATAGGTTCCGTAAGTTGTAACTTTGTTTTTAATTCCTAACTTGGGAAATATGCTTCCCCTTTGTAATTACAGCCCCCAGTGCATTTCTGGTTTGCTCATTTCTTCTTCCCTCTCTATACTCACCTAAATAAAGAAAAATAATAAAATTTAAGTAAGATGTTTTCAAATGCTAAAACACTAATGAGCCTTTCTATTACTTAAAATATGTTGGAAGCTAACACTAAAGTTTTTTCCTCCTTGAAAGTGCATTAAATTACAACTGGTAATGTGGTTCCATGCTGGTTTCTTGGCTCCAAGGGAATGAACTTTCTTAAAGCAAGAAAGAAACCAGTATAATCTGTATCTGTAGGCACTTTTGGTTATTTCAAGTTGTGACTTGGTGTTAAAGCTTTCTTGGGGAAGAAGCTAATTTAAGGTAATCCTCCTTGCTTGTACTCTTTTAAAAAAATTTTATTTTTATTTTTTCTCCTCCAAAAATTAATGTTCAGCCTTTCAAAGGTTTGTCACATCTTCAGTTGTGCTAGGGTAGCAGTTGGACTGACTGATCACTGAGCCACATTGCTGAAATCATTTGGCTTTAAAAAGGACTGATTTAAAATTGCACTGATCCAGTTCAGGACACAGTTCTGCAATCAGTTCCACTGACATTATTGAGGGGAAGAAAACTGCGGGGTGAAATGCGAGACAAGATTGCAGATAGAGAAGAGTAGGAATGTCTTTGGCCAGATCTCTTTTTTTCTTATGGTAAAAAAATCTGGCATGGAGTCTGGGAACAAGGTGTCTAGCGATTGTCCTACCTGCTTTGTTTTGAAAGACTTCTTCAGACAATGGGACATATTTTGCTTCTTATTTGGTTAATTTTGGCAGGTATCACCTCTTAAGAAACTAGCAGAGGTGTCTGACTTGTAACAAAAAAATCAAACCAAAACGAAGAAACTACCTTCTCTGGGATGTGTTTGTTGGAAGTGGAAGGCAGAAATTATTTTTTCCTCTAAACTGAAAATAGGCAATGAATAGGTATTGGTCACAAACCTGAAATAGGAGTATGTGTATATTTCGTGTATCTCTTAGATGAGATGAGGAAAAACATTTTAAAGAGGGTGGCCATTCAGATTACCTAATCAGTAGCAGCTCACTTATTGTCAAAGCTTATTGTCAGAGTCCTGGTTTCATTTTAGTAAGCAGAGAAAGAGAGATTCACTGGAATGAAGTTCAGCTTCCCAAGGGTTCTTCATTATAGGCCTTTTTTCTTGTGCAATATAGGAAATTTTAGCATAGTTCGGTTCTTGACTGAGGTGCTAAAATTCAGGTGATGTAAGTATTCTAATCAGCATTATCAATATTTCTGTGGATTTACCCAAGGTCTTCTGGGCTCTATACCCCCTTCTTGATACTTGTGAGCACAAAGAGCTAAGTTCTGTTCACAAAGGGTCTAGGTGAAAAGTACTACATTACAGCAGGGTTAAAAGGTTAGGATCAAATTGTACTTAGAAAATAAGAGCACTAATTTTAAGAATCCTGTTTTTCTTGTCTGTGTCACACATAATATATTCTAAATACCAGACAGATGAAATACATACTATATTTTTATTGAGGAAAAATATCTTCATGTATGTGGGCCCACCTAATATGTTTCCATCAATTAAGGCTTACGAGAAATTTAATTCACATGAAAACATCTTTATGTCAATTTGGGAAAATAATAATCTGGCCAAAGAAACTGAAAATTCAAAGTGAAAATTCAATGCTTTTAGCTTTGGTGTCAAAAGAGTGGTTTTAGAAAAGATGTTATTTCTTGGGTGAAAATACACCTTTTTGCTCCTGTACTAAACTAATGCCTACAAATAAAATTGCCAAAGCCTTTGTCAGAAAATTGCCAAAGCTTTTGTCAGAATTAAATAGCTTTCAGGTGTATAATAGAATATGTTTCTAACATTTTGCAAATTCTATGTGAAAGTAGTCATGATGTATATCTTTCAGCATCAGATTAGGAAATTAATCTTCTTGGCCTCTCTACATCCAGAGGACTAATTCAGTTAAATGTACATCCACCTCAGAGGAAGCCTAGAGAAATTAGCAACTTAAACATGACTTAAAATCAGTCTTTATCTCTTATCAGTACTTACTTTTCTTACTGGATATTTGTCCTTGTCTTTTGTTTGGTTGTTACAAATATTTTCTCTTTCTCTTTTCATATTTCAGCAACTGTGTATGTACACAAATTAAAACCTTCCCTGTCTTGGGAAGAGCATTGCAGGGTGATGTGGTGGGGGGACAGGGAGACAGTGGTCACATGTATGTAGAGGGGAACTTTTTGTTAAACTGTACTGTGTTTCTTTTGTTAGATGTGCTACCTGCAGTCAAATTGAGAGATGTAGTTAGTTTTTGTGGTTTTGTTTAAATATGTGGACATAAAGGAAAATGCAAAATCATTTCCAATTTTGATAATAGTACACATAATACTACTTTCAAGTCCCCTATTTCTCCTCTCCTACCCCATTATATTATTAATCGCCATTGTGAGAAAAATCCATTAAATTATCAGGAATAATTAGAAGATTACTATTCTTAAACCAATGTTTTTCTCATTTGATATATAACAAAAGATTACAGAAAAGTATGCATGAAGATGTGGTTGGTTGTGTTTTGAATACTTAATGTTCTGCTTAGTCTTAAATAATATGGTTAACACTTTCTAGTTAAAGAACCCCCCAAACTTCTGAAATGCATTGTTATACGTTGTGAGCTATAAAATGCTTATCAATTCATGCAGCTATCTATCGTTGCAGGTTTTTTCATCAAATGAATACACAGGTGCCTAAGAATAAATTTTTTACTCTTGGAAAATCAGTATACTTTTTGTTAGAGGTATATACATGCTTGTACATGCAAAATTGATTAATTAATTTTAATGAAATCTACCTACGACTCAATGTTGATCACCAATAGTTACCTATGCCCATCTCAGCCAGTAACTTCCAGTACAGCGCTCTGCCACAGTTCTCCATCAGTCTGGATAATCCACTAATTCCTATCAAAAGTTAAGAGTACAATTTCTACAAAATAATGTGCCCTTTTTTCTTATGAATACGTCATAGATTCAGTTGAGTTATGTCCTGGGCCCTTATTTACAAGCGGTATCTATACAGTCTATAAATAACTGCTGGCTGAAAAGTCTGTGAGGTTTAGGTATGTGATGGGTATAACCCAGCTGGAATGAACATGTTAAAAGTATCTTAAAGAATGCACAGTGGTAAGTTTTTTCAGTTTGTAAGACAAGTTGGTTCTTACTCTGTCTCCTGGTTAAAAAAATCCACATTTATTTGTAATTACCATAGTTTAAATGAATAATTTCAACTAACAGTCTTGATGTATTTATAATTCACACTAGTTAATAATAGTATGGTGTTTACTAATTTTTGTTACCTTAATTCACAAAAAGAATGTGTCTGAGAGAGCAGAAAAAGCTATAAACTACAACTCTTTTTTTTTTTTTTATTGTATATCACATCCATGTGGAAGAAGTATAGTGCCACATCTGTGTGCACCATCTTGGTGTATCTGTCCATCCCTTTTTCTTGCAAATATCTGCAAATGTGAAACACACTGCACATGATTAGCATGCTTTGTATATAGACTAGGGACATACTAAGCAGATCTAATTTGTCATAACAAAAGCTTTCGTATGGTAGTGCATCAGAAGTTAGTGTTTAAAATTTTAAGCCTTAAAAAGCAGTGTTTACAGTGTTACATGTCAGTAATTTAATCATTATTGACTGATGTGAAGTAAAGTTAGCTATGTCACCAGTGTCATGATTTTTCTCTTGATGAGTATAATTTTCAGGTTTGTAATTACCGATGTTGAGAGATACACACACACACACACACACACACACACACACATATCTATATATATCTATATATATATAGATAGATATAAAAAATAATTTATAGACACATGCAGTTTTCAGGGACTTTGTGAATGTATAAATCTGAAATATTCTGTTTTCAGTAGTCTATTTTTCTGGATTTTTTTTTTTTTTCAGTCTTGCTCTTGCATATTTGTTTTCCAGTCTTCTGGTAGAGGAATATCTGTAGCTGATTTTGGACTAGTGACTGTTAATAGTCACTTGATGACGATAAAATGTGTTAGACACTGAATTTTTGTTTCCATAACTGTACTAAACTGTGGTATTTGAAAGAATTTTTGCCTCTTTGGAGCAGCCTGCTAAAGATCTGCTTCCCTAAAATATAATTATGTGCCAAAACTGTATTGGGTGGTCTATAGCGGAGTGCAAATAAAAATAATAGAGTGATATTAGGCAAAGGAAAATGCAGGCATATTATTGGGAAATATTTTCTGACACTGAAATTTATTTTACTGCTGAAGTGTTTGCC